ATAAGATTCGACTCATATTATTGCTTGTACAAATATACCAACATTCTAGATGATGAGAGATTCAAAAACATTAATGTGGATAAAGTTCAACCCAATCCCATATTTTGAATATTACCCAAAAAAATCAACCAATTAAACCACATTTTAATAAAGTTTTTTTTTTTTTTTTTTTTTTTTTTTTTTTTTTTTTTTTAAGTGAAAAAAAAAAGTAAAAGTAGTGGGGTTTGGGTAATAAAAATTCGATTAGTAACACTCTGTCACGTCTTCCGATTTCAGCTGCGGAGAAAGAGGGATAAAGCTTCACAGGTACTCTCTTTCTCTTCTCTCTCCTCTTCCTATTCATCCTTTTCTCCCCTTTCCCTCTCAATTTCGGGGATCCCAATTATCTAGGGCTCTTTTGATTTTCTGGGTATGTTCTATTTTCTCCCGATCTATTTAATCATTCCTTCATTTTCACTCTTTTTTTTTTGAATTTTTACTTCTTCTGTTTGATGCTTATTTTAGCTTATGTTCAGTTATGATTAAACTTCTGTTAACTACTATATTAGGGTTTAATTTATGTTTTCTTAGGTTATGATTGTTTAATTTGTTCTGGGGTTTGTTTAATTTTTGGTTTGATGTTGATATTATTTGATTGTCGGTGTGTTTGAATTATTTGGTCAATGAGATTTTTTTTGTTAGTTTGAAATATGTATGAAATAATTTCTGGGTTCTACTGTATTGTAAATGGGTAATGCTGGGTTGGGGTGTTTTTGTTGCGTGATTGTGAAAATTGAAGAGTAATTAATTAATTATACATTCAGTATTCGTCTCGTTCGGATTTAATTGTCACGTTGCTAGTTCGAATTACACTATCCGCTTGAATTATTACTTTCGGATGGAGAAAGGGAGTATAATCAATATGTAGGAGATAATATATACAACTATACAAGTAGAAGATATTGTTGAAAATATTGATTGTTGTAGTACTTTTTTCTTTATGTATTGTTGTTTGGGTTCAAATCTTTAAAATAATAGCAACGATTAAAGTATGAAGTAGGTCTAGCTAAGCTTTTGTCATAGCATTAGTAGATACAAAAGTTATGCTGGTAGGATTTTTTCCTGCTTATTTTACAACATAGTGCTCCGCAAGGAAGATTTCGAGTCTGTAAATTAGATTAAGAAAGATAACAGCATTTTATAGGTTTTTAGTATGATCTATTAACTTAAAATCGGGTTGATTTGTATGTTCTTTCTGATCATAAATGTTTGACTTGAAGATTGTAATTAATCAACATTGATTTGGTTAGTCGTGTATTTTGACATAGAGAGTAAACATAATAGTAGAATTACTCGAGCATTTGCTATCAATCTTTGTTGCAATGCTTGTTCTTTTAGTAGGTAATCACGTGCTATTTGAACACTTAAACCACGTTATTGGAAAAGTGTTATAACCTTCTCATCACATATTTACAGCTTTAACTGTACACAAATTTCACTTCCTCAGTCTTCTCCTATATTCTTTGTTGGCTTTTAGATTCGCTGTAAGTTGTTAAGCTTCCGAAATTTAGGGTTTTCTTTTATTAGGTTTCTATGTGATAGATTTTCACTTGATAGATCTCTTTATCACCATCTCATTTGCTGAGAAGTTACATATCAAAAGTCATAACACTAAGCTGTATAATGTGTTAACAGGATTGCAGGATGGACGGTTTGAACAGCTTTTGGCAACTAGGTGATGAGCTTCGTGGACAATCAAGAGTGTCAGAAGATCACAAATGGCTGATGGCAGCTTCAAAGTTAGCTGAGAAGACAAGATCCAAGGGGGAGCGCATGAATAATATTGATTTTTCCAAGGGAGCGGCGGATGTGAGGCCAAGGGGATTTGGGTTCCAAGAAGATAACAAATTTGAAAGTCTCAACTTTAACATGTTGAGCCTAGACTCTAAGGGGCCTGAAAATTTGAGCAAAAGCTCCTTTAGGAACAATGTTTACAATATGAATGCTGTTTATCAGAAGAGCAACACTAACATTGTTGAAAACATACCCATTAACAAGTCTATCATCAACAATAACAGCAACAAGGAGCCCAGCAACAACAACAATAACAACAACAACAATGAAAGTGCAAACGATAAAAGGTTCAAGACCTTGCCTGCTGCAGAGACACTTCCTAGGAACGAGGTGCTTGGTGGATACATCTTTGTGTGTAACAATGATACCATGCAAGAGAATCTCAAGCGACAGCTATTTGGTATGATTTCTTTTTAACTCATGCTTGTGAATTTAGGATTTCAATTTAATCCTGGAATTTCAGTCAACTAGAAGTAGATATGGCTGGAAATAGTATGTCTACCTGCATTCAAATTTCATCATGACCAGTTGATTTCAATTTACAGTGATGAATGATTGCTGATTGTAGCTCCTTCATTCAGGTTTACCCCCAAGATACAGGGACTCTGTTCGCGCAATAACACCTGGTTTACCTCTATTTCTGTACAACTATACAACTCACCAGCTTCATGGCATATTTGAGGTTTATATTAAACCTTACTCTACTTCCTTTATTGTCCTTGACCTATATGAGCCACTAGATTTTAAAATTCGAGTTCTTTTCCCCCTGATAACAGTTAATTAAAATTATTAACAGACTACCTATGAGTTTGATATGGTAATTTGTGCAAAAACCATAGTTCCTTAATTGTGCAATGAATTTACAGGCATCTACTTTCGGGGGCTCAAATATAGATCCAACTGCATGGGAGGATAAGAAATGCAAAGGTGAATCAAGGTTTCCTGCGCAGGTAAAATGAAGATCATAATGCTTAGATTTCTCTTTCGTTTTTTTTTTTTTTTTTTGAAGTGCATAATGTTTCCTAACATTTGCATTAACATTTGCATTATGGTTACCTGTTCCCTCCAAATTTCAGGTGAGGATTCGTATTAGAAAGCTTTGCACAGCCCTGGAGGAAGATTCCTTTAGGCCTGTCCTGCACCACTATGATGGTCCCAAGTTCCGCCTCGAACTTTCAGTGTCAGAGGTAACATTACTCATTACTCATTTCATTGAGACATTATCCTAAAATTATTGGCTCTTAATTTCTTATCCTCTGTGTGGTTACTTATTCTTGCCATTTTGCAAGTCAAAATAAATTCACTTTATCACCTTTTTATAGGTGATAAATCAAAGTATTTTAAAGGCTTGACACCTTAGCACATCAACCTTGTCAGAAAGTTCCTGATCTCTTAATCCCTCTAAGTAAAAGGCATGTGTCAGTATTAATTCAATAAGGTAGTTTTACAGTATCAAGTGAAATGGGTGCTGTATTGTTAAGTTGTTTAGAAGTTATGTTTGTGGCCCAGGTGGTGGTTGTCTGAACACTGAAATAAACAGCATGTAAAATCGTTGGTGGTTGGTTGTTTAGACGACCCGTTTTTTTGACCCTTATATCTATTTGTCATTGTCTTGCAGACCCTGGAGCTGCTCGACCTTTGTGAACAAGCCGGAATGTAATCTGCTTTCTGCATGAACTGTTGTCTGTAGATTGCGCCAGCATATTGTAGATTTCACGTTGTATCTGTAATATGGTGAGCCAAATTTTCCGCAAAGCGCAAGCTTGGAAGATGTGTTCTGGCTTGGGTTTATTTATCAAAATGTAGGGAAGGTGTTTGAGTAAAATAAATGTATTTTAAGAGTTCGTGATCATATATTGTATGTTATTGCAGAGGAGTGATTCTTGCTTGTATGATCTGATGGCTGAATTTCAATGAAAATGAAAAATGAGACGAGAAAATCCATGTATCTGTATTTTGTGACTATAAATACTTAATCTACTATTCAGTGTGTTAAATGGAATATTGCAATGGGTGACTGACTGGCTGATGTCTTTTTCCATTTCTTCCTTCGGATCAACATATCCAAGCAAATTGGGAAGTACTATGTTTGTTCGGGTTGATTTGAAGATTATGTATGTAATATCATGTTATATTCTCAATAATAAGAACAAAATAAACTAGTAATTGTCTAGCTTTCACTTGCAAAATAAATCTTTGTAAAACAAGCAAACTTTTGAGACTTCTAAAATTAGCTATTGTCTAGTTCTCATTTAGGTAAAAGTAGGATTTTTTTGTAGCAAACAAAATTTGAGACTTCTATAATTAGCTCTCTCTAAAATAAGTAATTTTGTGATTTCTTGGTTGACAAAACTTTTGGACTTTGCAATATTTGGATTGGTAACTTTCTAATCCAATTGAAGGATCATGGCATGTTTGCTAATTAGGTAAATGTCATGACAAATTAGAAGTGCGGGTTCTTAAGAAATGCATACATGACAAATTGTTTGATTGCCATAAAATAAACGTAATGGGTGAGTGGAAATTCCTCATGAAAAATGGTTCAGTTATTCATCCCTTGGCAGTTCATAATTCTCAAGAAATACTTCAAAGTAATGCTAAGTGCCATCCAAACATTATCAAGCTATATCCTAGAATGTTGACGAGGAAATAGCCTCCCTTAAAATGATTAATACCCATGTGAATTAGTGGTTTCTCCCTAATTTCACTTCCCTAATAATGCAAAATTGTGAATTAGTGGTTTCTCCCTAATTTCCACTCCCAAATAATGCAAAATATTGTTTGATTGAACATTAGAAATTTTGAATTTTACTTGTTTCCAAAAAAAAAAATAAAAAAATAAAAAAATAAAATTAAATTTACAGATAGTTTCCCTACATAGAGTGATAGAGCAACTGATTTCCTCTAATTAGTGGTAAGTTAAAAATTTCATCTCCCTACATAGAAAAACCTAACTAATTTCCTCTAATTAGTGTTAAGTTAAAAGGTTCATTTTTTGCCAACCCAAACAAATCCGCTTATTTCTCTTTTCAAATGATTTTCAATTGCCATGTTTTTTTTTATGTCAACACAAGCATCAAGTATGGTTCTCAAATATTACAGAGACAATGGACGTTCATTGCAGTTGGTAAGACTTACGAACGCCCTTTTTCATTACACCAAGCATGTAGATTATCCCTTGCAAAACTTGGTAGGCAGAGAGCAAAAGGAGCACAAATTCTTTAATTCACAAGATATAACTATATAAGTTCTACAATTACAAGCATATAGATTGTCCCTTGCAAAATCTAACCCCTGATACAAATTCCGCGCATGTCCTTGCCCACATGAGGTAAGTACAGTCAGACAGGTAGCAATGCATTACTAACCTAGGTAGGTTGAAGCATTATAAAACACAGGAGTGACTCTCCCACCAAACTCTGTAGCTTTTGCTACACTAAGACTTGGTCAAGCAACATATTCTGAACCTCTTCTTTATCCTGATGGTAACAATCCCTCGCATCAAAGTGAAGCTGCATTTAGAAAAGCCCAAATTCGCTGCAACAACTCAGCTTTCACGGGATCAGGAATAGATGCTGCATGACAAGATCACAACACATTAAGTAAAAATGTTAGCAACTATGAGTAATGATTACAAACAAAATGCAGGTGTTGAACTACAGCAAATAAAATCGCTACAGGTGGAGAATCCGTCTGTTTAAAATTTCCAATCACTTTCTCAGATGTAAAAATACAAAATGTCAGATTGTCAGAAATATTAAATCACTACACATCATGATTACAGGTTCTGCAACACAAAGACCAAAGAACAGTTCAAGTATTTAGGCTCTAATTGCTAATCATTCATCAATATGATGCACATGACTTGTCATTTATTAAGACCAAAAACAAAGTTAAGGTGGTGAACATCCTAGTATTACATAATATACACAGCTAAATATCATTTTCGCTGATTCTAGTTTAGGTTAGTGACAAAACAGAACTGTTACTTAAGTTATACTTCTGTTCCATAAACTTCATAGCACAGCTCATTTTGATTCTCCCTTTCAAAAAACATATAAATAAATCGTTGTTCCCCCTGACAGCCTTGGAGTTGGAGGCACTCCTTCATTGTCTGATCTACTCCCCATTTTGTACAATAAAGATTTCTAAGTAGCAGGGCTTGAAAAAGGGAATCACCTTGTTTTCTTGTTCCCTTTATAGTTACTCTGTAGATCACTTATCAACACCAATTTTCCCAACAACTCCCCACCACCCCAAACCCTTCCAAATAAAAAGAGACGAGAGATTAGTGTGAAGATGATGCAATTCATTAAATTGCCAAAAGCTTCTTACTTGTTCTGATTTGAAAACATCTCATTTGTAATTAGATTGATAACAACCTCTATCTTAACAAAGTGCTGCTGCACATATCTGTCCCTCATCTACCCCACTCAATTTGCAAGTCTCTTTGGAGGCATTGGGGTAATGTTCATCTATGTAGAGAATAACTGCAAGCTAGAAATCCTCTACGGCTCTAACCCTGGCTCCACATACTACCAGTAGCTAAAAACCCATTAACACATTAGAGCTAAAACACCACATGCCTCACAACCCGCAAGACAGCCATGCTAATCATTTACCAATTCAAACCATTCTACAACATGCTGTCAACTAAAATTCTTCCAACAGTAGCAGGACTATGGAGTTTATTTAGTAGTATTACATGTCAAGAGTTAGCTTTGACATAAGAAAACACATACACAGCAAGAGAAGCAACACATGAAGCAAGATATGAGTGATATAATCATCAATACCTCTTCCTTTTGGAGTTATTAAATGTACTAGATCATCAACAGTTACATTATTCCTCCCTTTCTTCTTATAAATGCCCTGAAAATAGAAGCAAATCTTAGAAACTCAAGCATGGCAAATCACAAGATTACAAGACATTTGAATCAAAAGCTTCATAGTCAAACTGTACTATAAAGAACAACCTTGATCAAAACAAGATAGCTATAATTTTTGTCTCTCAACTTCAATTTTGGAAATAACACATAATTTCCTAACAAAAATACTACAATATGTCAATATTGACATGAATACACATAATATCCTCTTTCCCTTACAAAAAACTACAATATTGACAGAATTAAAGTATTCCCTCCGCCCAAAATTTAGTTGTCATGTTGCGGGTTCAAATTACACTATCAACGTGACTAATAATCCCGAAAACAGGAGTAGAGGATATGAACATCTATACTATAGAGGGTTCAAAGTCTTCAAACCTGCAGTTCGATTTCATTTCATCCTTCCATCCACACTCAATGAGCCTTTGTTGAATTGACTACCTTAATATTTTGATGATTGACTTACATAAAACAAACTCTGACTAATGATGTTTATGAGTCTTGGTTGAACAGAAAGATTCAGGTACACAAATACATGTTCCGGAGTAGGAACAACAGAGTTTGGAAGACTTGATGATGAATGCAAGCTTTCAAGATGTCCTCACAACTCTATATACTTAGTTACTCAGTGTACGAGCTTAAGAAACAAAAGTGTTGGAAGGAATGGAAGGAATTAAGAAGAAACTCGAAGTTCTTGAAGGAACCTGTAGTTCCCGAAGGAACTTGACGATTGACTCAGAAAGTTTTAAACGAAAGTTTTAAAACAGTTTTCATATCCCTTAATTTAAGGAAGTGATAAAAATCAGTTTTGAAAAAGATTTAAAAAGATTTTATAAATAAATAAATAATTCATTAATTTAAAAAGATAAGTTTTAAATTAATTAATTATTTATCTTTTCATTAATAAATAAATAATTATCTTTTTTATTAAATAATTATCTTTTTGAATAACTGATTTTTTTGACTTGGTAAATACTGGCTCCTAGTATTAAGGAGAACGTTGAACTTGGGAGTCAAGCTAAGGAAATCATGTTCCTAAATTTCCTCTGCCTACATCCCAACTTCTCAGCCAAAGAGAACGTGGGATTAAGGGGGAAGTGGGAATTTGATGGAAGCTTGAATATTCTCCTTATAAAAACAGATCAACGTTAAGTTTTGAAAGCGTGGAAAAACAATCTTAAGTATTCTGAGCATAGAGTTTCAAAGTGTTTAAAAGAGAAGTTCCTTCCATCCTTAGTCTCTTAAGTTCTTTAGGAAATACTTGTAATCATTGTGTAATTGGGTTTGGGTTGTGAGAGTTGTAAAGTGTGAGACTAGAGAAAGTTGTTTACACTGTACAAGTGATTCGGAGTAGAATCACAAAGTGTGAGAAATTGTGATTGAGGGATCACAGTTGGGTAACTTGAGTTCCTCACGGAACTTGAGTCTAGGCAACGTATTAGTGATTGTAAATCATTTTTACATAGTGAATTTATTCATTGCTTGTCGAGTCAAGGTGGAGGAACAATGTCGAAGGACGAGAGACTAGCTGAAGGTTATTCTACACAAAGACCTCCACTCTTCAATGGGAAGTACTACGCCTATTGGAAGACGAGGATGGAGATGTTCATACAGTCCGAGAATTATCAAGTCTGGCGAGCTATCGAGGTAGGAGATTACGAGGTAACAAAGACCAATGCAGAAAACGAGGTAATTCCTAAACTTATTTCTGAATACGATAGAAGCGACTTTGAGAAGAAAGAGATTAATGCTACTGCTAAAAAACTCCTAGTTTGGGGTTTAGGGCCAGATGAACACACTCGTGTTATGGGATGTAAAACAGCAAAAGAAATATGGGATTTACTAGAAATAACCCACGAAGGAACTCATGAAGTTAAACGTTCTAAAATTGATATACTGCTTTCTAAATATGAACGTTTTGAAATGGGTTCAAAAGAAACTATTCAAGAAATGTTTACTCGTTTTAAAAATATTACTAATGAATTAGTTTCTCTTGGTAGAGTTATTCCTATGGATGAACAGAATTCTAAGGAGTCTTCTTGAAGATGAACGGTGGAGATCCAAAGTGGCAGCTTTGCAGGAATCAAAGGACTTTACAACTTTCAACCTTGAACAACTTGCAGGTTCCTTAATAACTCATGAGCTTCACCTATCAAACAAAAGCCAAGAAAGTTCAAAGAGCCGAGGAATTGCTCTAAAGGAATTGCTCTAAAGGTTGTCCAACCAAGTGAAGAGGATTCCGAATCTGGAGAGGAAGAAGCTGCCATGCTAGTCAGGAAGCCAAAAAAGCTGTATCGCAACAAAAGGTTTGGTGACCAAAAGAAAAGGAACTTCAAGAAAAACCAATATTCCAAGGAAACTGGAGGATGCCACAAATGTGGGAACACAGATCACTTCATCATGCCCTCTCTGGGAATCAGAAAAAGGAAAAGGCGAAATGAAGGAACACGGAAAATCTAATACTCCAAACTTTTCAAAATCTGATTACAGGAAAGCCATGATAGCTGCGTGGGGAGACACAAGTTCCGAGGATGAAGAAGAATCCACGGAAGAAGAGACGACAAACCTGTGTTTGATGGCTAAACACAGTGAGTCTGCTAAAAAGTCAGAGGAGGTAAATCTCAAACCTAAATTTCTGAAATCCCTGTCAAAAGACAAATTAATTTCTTTGCTCATAGAAACTTTGGATGAATATAAAGAAATATGTCTTAAACTTGGACAAAATGAAAAAGCTCTAGAAATCTATAAGGATCATATGAAATATTTGAATAGTTCAAGAACAGATGTTCAGGGAAGATTCTTTGATTTGCTAGATAGAAACTCTATGCTAAAGGAAACATTGGAAAGAGTCAAAAATGAAAATATCATGTTAAATGTTGAATTGACTCAGTATAAATTGTTATGCACTAACATTGATTCTAATAATGCTCTTTAATTGCCTTTAGTAACCTTTAATGATGATCTTGAAAATTTGAAAAAAGAATTGCAGGTTAGTAGGTTACTAAAGACAAAAATGAATCCCTTGAAAAGGATTTAGAAAGAGCTAGAAACAACAAAAGTGCAATCCACATGGGAGTTCCAAAGTGGATATCTGAAGCTCAAACCAGAAGGACAGAGGGTTTGGGTTTCAACCACAAAAAGAAGAACAGTGGTAAAAAGAAAAAGTACGTGGAACTCCCTAGTGAGACTGTGTGTTCCTTCTGTGGCAAGTCAGGACACAAAGATACTGATTGCAAAAGAAAGGAACTTAAGTCCACTAAAAATATAGCTTATGTATGGCAAAAGAAAAATGAGTTTGCTGTATCAACAAAGGAACCTATGAAAGATGGGGTTCCTGAATTTAACCCTTAGTTTCTTTTGCAGGTCGAAGTGAGGGGGAACAACCAATGGTACCTCGATAGTGGTTGTTCTAAGCACATGACAGGAGACAAAACTAGATTTCTCTCACTGACGGCCTATACAGGAGGAACTGTGACCTTTGGTGATAACAAGAAAGGCAGCATTGTTGCCGTAGGAAAGGTTGGAAGGTCAAGTTCCCAAGCTATTGATAACGTTTTTTTAGTCGAGGGCCTCAAACACAGCTTATTAAGCATATCACAATTTTGTGATAAAGGAAACTCTGTAAGTTTTGATTCTGAAAAATGTAGCATCATTCAGAATGACACTGGGAAAGTTTTGCTGGAAGGAACTCGGAAAGGAAACACTTATACAGTGGATCTCAATACAGTTCCGAGGAACAACTTAACTTGCCTCAGTGTCATTGAGGATGATCCTTTACTGTGGCATAAACGTTTTGGTCATGCAAGTTTCTCTTTGATTGATAAGTTAAGAACAAGGAACTTGGTAGAGGGACTTCCTTCAATCAAGTTCCTATGTGACAAAATTTGTGACGCTTGTGTGAAAGGAAAGCAGGTGAGGACATCCTTTAAATCCAAGAAGATGGTGAGTTCCACGAAACCCTTAGAGTTAATTCATATGGATTTATGTGGTCCTATGAGAATTCAAAGTAGAAGTGGAAAGAAGTACGTCTTAGTAATTGTTGATGATTATTCTAGATTTACATGGGTTATTTTTATGTCTAGTAAGGATGAGACTTTTGATGAGTTTGTTACATTTTCCAGGAGAATTCAAAAGTCCACACCTTAGATCCGATCATGGCACTGAATTTGAGAATTTTAAATTTGATGATTTATGCAGGGAACAAGGCTTAAGTCATAATTTCTCAGCTCCAAGAACTCCACAGCAAAATGGAGTTGTGGAAAGGAAGAACAGAACCTTAGAAGACATGGCTCGAACCATGTTAATAGCCAGCGATCTTCCAAGGAACTTCTGGGCAGAAGCCTTGAATACAGCCTGTTATATTATAAATCGTGTCATGCTAAGCCCTATATTAAATAAGACACCCTATGAACTGATAAAAGGCAGAAAACCGAACATATCTCATCTTAGAGCATTCGGTTGTAAATGTTTTGTGCATAATAATGGTAAAAGAAACATAGGGAAAATTGATGAAAGAAGTGATGAAGCCGTATTTCTTGGATATGCTACTAACAGTAAAGCGTATAGAGTTTACAATGTGTTGAGGAAAGTGCGCATGTTATATTTGATGAAACTAATCCACTTCCATGTACACAGGAACATGAGGACTATGATTTTGAAATTGGTCTAGTACGTTCTCAAGAACAAGAAGAAGATGCAATAATTCCAAATAAGCAGCCAACTCGAGTAAATGAAAATCATGAAAATCCGGAGAAGGAACTCGACATACTAACTAAAGTTCCTTCGACAGAACAACCTCAGATTGAAGAACCTGTCGAGGAACCAATAACACAAGAGGAAATCACTGAAGAAGAAGCAACTGGCTCAGAAAATAAGAATAGTCGAGTTACTATCCAAACCTTCCAGCCCAAACCTTGGAAGCACCAAAAGTCACACCCACTAGAAAAAATTATTAGTGACTTATGCAAAGGAAGTCAGACTAGA